CTTTTGATGATTAATTTGTCAGTGTAGTTCTAAAAACAGATCTCAGCGTTGTAATATCTTTTAAAACATCTACCATCTAAACGTCAAAAATATCATCTAAATGCAAGAGAAAACATCTAAATCTGGATTTAAAACATCCAAAGTGGCAGCACTGTTATGTAGATCTGTTGCGCACGTCTACAACGCATCCGCAATCTCGTTTGCCCTCGAACCTTTTACCTTTCACCTTCAACCCTGATACGCCAACGCTTTCACAGTGACCGATCAGCCGATGTTCGTCTTCTGCCGAACGCCAGGCGCGCCAACACTAAGAAAACATTCCAGTATTTTTTTTTGGGGGGGGGGGGGAGGGGGCGCTCAGGGGCCTTTCATTTGAGGGGTACAAGTAACGTTTTTCGGCCCCTACACACCGTGTTTGCCCGTTTATTTATGCTTGCTGACTTTTCACATGCACGACTCTCTGTTACAGGGGTGCCAGTTTGTATTGTCTTTGACGCTCTCACCGGCGATGACGCCTGCTCCATATTACACGATGTGACCGCTTTTAACGACCCTATAAAATTTTTCACTTTCCCTAACCCCCCTCCCCACCACATCCCCAGCCTACGTCCCACGAGAGACTGTAGCATACGTCCCGTGGTTTCAGAACTGTTGATATTTTGCCGTCGGCCCTCCTTGTCGGTTGTCAACACTGATAACTTGAATAAATTCATGTCGTACTTAAAGTCAGAGGAGGCCAGAATATACGCAATGTCGCCGACCGCTCGGAACAACGAGTACAACACAACGTGTGTTTGGCCGCTCACACAAATCGCAGCATATACATAACAGAACACAACCTGACACCCCTGTAACAGAGAGTCGCGAGTGTGAACGGTTAGCAAGCATGAATGAACGGCCAATCACGGTGTGTATGGGCCGGAAAACGTTTCTTGAACCATCTGAGGATCTAGGTAGTAAACAGATTTTAGGTGAGTAATGATAATTATTATCATGTGCTGAATGGCAATAAAATATTAACTATATTAAAGAGATTACGAAACTGAACGCAAAAAAAAAAAAACGAAATACACCATATAACGGGTATGATCAGTCGTTTTACTCCTGTGGAGCTATTGAAGCGGAAATGGAAGCACCCACAGATACGTCCGGAGTGTTGTGATGATGGTTCTCAATAATCACTGTACTTAATGGAAAGAGCACAGGTTTCTGAATGGGGATTCTCGATAGCCAGACCACAGTAGGAAGGTCTTGGCTCCCAGGTCGACCTAGTCTTGAGTGGGTACCAGGTAAAGTCCAGGAAATTAAAGACGGTCGGGTTACCAGAGCATGAGGAACTGTACTAAAGGGTCGCGGCATTATGAAGGTTGAGAACCACCGCTCTACTACAATATAAAAATGTATGCAAATGGTGCATGAATATTACTGGTACTGAGGTAGAATCATGGCACAGGAAACTACGAACCGTGTAGGATTGAATCAGGAAGAGAATATGGATATAGTAGACAGTGATCTCCTGTTGGTTTAATAGTTGAACATCTGAGAAGCCAGGTCCGCAAAAGTCAGTATCCTTCCAACTCCTGGTGCTTCTAGGCTTGCAATCTTGCTCGCATACACGTTGAAGCGCACAGCCGAGATGGCGAATCCATGTGGCAGTCCTGGGGCAACCCGACGTGAATACAGGACAGTTGCAACCCAATTCACCAGCCATGGACTGACCTCCTTCTCCTTCAGTGCAGTCACTAAGATGTATCTCATTCTGCTATAAGCATCCTCGAGATCCAGTCCTACCGCCATAGTTTCCTGTCTGTTCTGGAACCCTTCATAGACGTCAAAAGCAAAAGTGGCTGTATTTGCCCAAGTGTCATTTCCTGGCCTGTAGCTTCCTAGACCTCTTGGGAGAAGCTTCCCCCTTTGCAAAAAATTATTGTAGCTTTACAGCAACTATCTTCTCCAAGACCTTCCCAAATGTGTTTTGTGAGGTGATGATTCTAAAGCCACTAAGCTTAGAATGATCTTTAAAAGGTTTTGGTAGTGTGATTAGAAAGCTGTGCACCCAGTCCTGCGGTACTGATGCTGTCTTAATACTCTGGTTATAACAGTCGGCCATCTCTCCCAGGTCTACATCGCTCAAAGCTTTCATGTGACCATACCTAACTCCATCAGGCCCTGGTGCAGTGTCTTTTGCTTTTTTAAAAATGTGTTTGATATCTTCCACTTGTATCGTGTCTTCATAATGCATATTCTTCAAGGTGCCAGCTAACTCCTTTCTAACTGCATCCCTGATGTCTAAATCATTATGATCCGTCTGAGCTATAAAGCCTACCCTTTCTCCTTGTCTGATGTCACACGCACACCAGCGTCTCTACAAATTGTTCCGACTGTCATAGGCCGATCATTTCTTTGCATCTGGCTTTGCAGTTTCCAGAATTATCCCCCAATGTTTTATCGCCTCCCATATCATTCACACAAGTTTCCCACTTTGCTCTTTTGGCCTTTTCTACTTCTGGAGTCCACTATGGGGGCTGTAGAAAATTAGTTCTGGCAGTTCTGTTGCATGCTCCCCGTCTGAGGCGTCCAAGTAGGTTGTTGGTCCACTTATACCGGAAGGTCTTGCGTGCTCTCCCAACCTTAACCTTACTGAGTTTAGAAATCAAGACTGAACATGGTAGGTGATCACTCCCATGGTCATTCAGGACAGTCCATTTAACATCTAAAACCGACGCCTGAGAGACACATGTCAAGTCAATGGCTGTGTCTGCATCTCCAGACCTCATTGCCATTCTAGTCGGCCTCCCATCATTGATGCAGACCATATCGGAGTCAACCATGGCCTCTGCAAGAGCAATTCCCTGTCGGTTTTCTCCACTGCTGTCCCATTCTCTGTTCCTCGCGTTGAAATCCCCACATATGAGTAACCTATCACCTGGTAACTCCTCCATTTCCTTGAGCCAGCTCCATTGTTTACTTCTGACAAAACAGTCTACCGTGGCATATATATTTATGAGGTTCCAACTTAAGCCACCAATCTCCACCTGTATCCCTTGAACCTCTCGTCCACTGTGGTTCCACTGGCTCAAGTCAAGCACCACATGCTTCACTCCCTCCTTCACCACCAGACCTTGTCCATGTCTCTCCTGTCCAACAGGGTTTATGTAACTGACGTACCCCGGGCAATGATATGTGTCTGTATTTAGCTCCTGGAGCATGATGTCATCAAAATAAAAAATCAACCTCTCCAGTACATGACCTCTCTGCCTAGCACTCCGACAGTTCCAGTATCCTGTGTAACATATTTAACAAGTCACCATAGACCAGGGCTATTCAAATGCCGGCTTGCACAGATATGGCAAGTGGTCCACTGATGATTGCTAATTGCATTGTATTGTAACAGGCTGGGGTGGATAGATTGAGCCTGTTATAATAATTTGCGAACTAAAACTGACAGGTCTGCAGAATAGGACTCTTCAAAAATGGCCTGGGAGTTGCAAAGTTTGTATAAGGCCCAGCCACGGCCTTCTGTAGCAGAGAGAGCTACAGGAGGCTGTGGGTCCAGCACAGCAGAAAAGGCTGTCTTTGGCCTCGCTAATCGCTCTAGTCTAGGGCAATGGCTCTCAACCTTCCTAATTTAGTACCATTTAGTACAGTTCCCTCTTGTTGTGCGACAGCCAAACATTTTTTTTTTTCGTACCTTCAATGAATTTGTGTTTTCCGATGGTCTTAGGCGACCTCTGTGGCCAAAATAGGGCTCGCAACAAGCAGGTTGCGAGCCACTTCTCTAGGGACATGTAGTTCTACTCATAAGCTCCGAGACCTGGGAGTTCAAGTCCCTTGAGCGCCCCTCCCCAACTTGAAAGGGGCGGACTGAGTTATATGTTGTAGTTGTGTAATTCACTATTCAAATATGTTATCGTGCGTGAGCTATGATTAATATGTCATGTTTCCTGCATCAGAAGAAACCGCGTCTTTTCTTTACTATTCCTGTTTTTGCAGTCCAACGGGGAATTGTTTATTGTCCAAACATATTTTTGTCCTCGCCTCCCAATTGGTTTTTATTTTTCGCTTCCTTCTACACTGAGGCTCTAGCCCATGTTACATTTTGGCCACTGAATATACTTAGTTGAATTACCCTGTCTTAGACCATGGCCGATTGTAGACCATCTATTATGATGTCTCCAGGGCTACCTCTTCCCCTGTAACCACCATGGTGTAGCGGCTAGACGTTCTCCTGCGGATCTACGGAAGGTCAGGGTGTCACATGAGAACGGAACCCGACGTTTCAAATAATGACTTTGGCTTTGATAATATCATCCACCGAGTACCGACTGGTCTATAAAATATAGATGTAGCACTATATGTCCAATGCGCCTGAAGGCGTGGAAGAGGACCCTCTACTTAACATCTTACCAACTATTTTTCACAGTCGTCACCACAGCTTTTTTTTTTATGGAGGTACGCAGTACCGCCACCTTGAGGCATCATTTTTTTAAATACTATATGGTGAGGTGTGTCGGCACACGAACTGATACATGCTGCAGGAGATCGCGGATTATGGAGAGGCATGATCGCCCATGCCAGTCGGCAAGGCACCTGATGATGATGATATGGTGAGTTTCGGCATCTATTTTTCTAGAAGAAAAAGTCCTGGTCGTCACTATATTGTCTAATATCTATAGCGGAATGAATAAGAATTGAAATCACCGCACTGAGGACCAGGCTCGAGCTCCCAGGTATGAAATTAATTTCAAGGAGACTGAGAAGAAGAGGAAGGAAATTAGTTGACGAGGTGGAGGAGAAGGGCAAAGTCTCAGCAACAGCATTGGACGTCATAGAAGTGGTGTTGCAATTTGTAACTGCTAGACTGCAAGGTACACCAAATACATTCTTTAGCAGAACTTGTTTATTGTGGGATCGTCTCAGATCGTTGTTGACCTTAGATTACGTTCTCGGTGTGAATTTTTACACCATAGTTTTATAGTATACGGATCTGAACGCCAACCATGAAATCACTAACTTTGAAAGAGGTATCGTGCACCTTATCCTACTAGTTTTCGAGTACCTGCTATGATTTTATTATTAATTATGATTGATCATGATGATCCTTATCCTCACAAGTTACCACGTTTGTCAATAAACTTAACTATATTTACTGCAATATTGATAAAAACGGCGGCTCTACTTGCAGATTTGGCCGGCAAGCTGGACGGCGTCGGTCGGCTTAGTGGGAGTTATGTCCCTTCGCCAAACTCAAAACAAGTCGCGGAAAAAGTCACGAATCAAAATGACATACTTACCTATCATCATCCGGGTGCGTGTAGGGTTGCGTACGGTTGCGTCTAGGGTTACCTATCATCCTACGGTTGCGTGTAGGGCTGCTTATTGCGTGTAGGTTGGTTGTTTGCGTAAGATGAGGGGTAGGGTTAGGGTTTAGGGTTCGGGTTAGGGGTTAGTTAGGGGTATGTTAGATGTGAAAATTTTCACGTAGGAGGTCGAAATAGTGGCCGACAATCTGATGCTTGTGGGGAGTGGCGCCACTGAAACTGCCAAATATGATGCCAATAGCGGGCGGCTGGTGCCCAGTCGCTGGCGAATTGTTCGTTTCACTAGCATCCACAGGCCTTTGATAGTTTGTGTGTGTATGTGACTGTGCGCAACATCGACGAAGTTGGTCTGGTGGACTACTACCTCGTGCAGATAGATGCCATGCCTTAAGTTTGCGACGTTGCTGTAGCCTCGCCAAGCGTCAGACACGATGGTCGTTCCCGGCAGTACGTGATCTGTTATGATCCTCTTCAATGTCGCCGCATCTCGTTTTCGCACAAGCTCCAAGTAGCAACGGCCAGTCTCACACTCTACTAGCCCTACGACCCAACGACCGTGACGGATGCGACCGCGCTGATACTTTCATCGGAAGAAGTAGCTCTCGTCTACTTCGACCACGACAGATCTGCCGGTCTCATCAAGTCCTCCCAGCTCCACGGTGTGTCTCAACATCCAATTATAGCATTCGTGACAGAAATAATTGTTGTAGTTGACAATGGTGGACCAGCACGTGAGTCTCTCGAAGACCATGTCAGTCGTTGAACTTACGCCGGAGAGCCAGTAGTACATCACCATGACTATTTTCTTGGTCGGCATGTTGCTGTTGGCGAAAAAGGACCCTGTGCGAACGCTACACCAAGTATCACAGCGATGACAACGCCAACCGTATCTGTCGCTACAGTCCTGGCGAGGCGCTAGCGACATAGGTCGGTTGCACAAGCTGCACAGTTGCATATTCCTTATAAGACTATGCTCAGCTAGCCACCGCAACCACGCATACTTATCAGACATTAATGCATACAGATCTGCAGGAGTTACGTCTGTGGCAACTAAGTCGTGCGTCGCAAGAACGTTGTTGGTTATGTGTGTGGGAGCTCTCTGTCTAACTGCCATTTTGATGTATTTGTTTGATTCGTGACTTTTTCCGCGACTTGTTTTGAGTTTGGCGAAGGGACATAACTCCCACTAAGCCGACCGACGCCGTCCAGCTTGTCGGCCAAATCTGCAAGTAGAGCCAAAACGGCTCTCCTCCGAACTTTTATCCCCGCATTATGGCGGCCTGAAATATCCGTTCGGGGCTCAGTCCAATGAAAAATGCGGACTTTATGCCAAGGAACAAATCGCGGCAAAACTAGGATTACTTGACAATTTCAAGAGACACAACATTGCAGACGATAAAAGCGACCGGTGACAATGTCGAGCGTTTTTGCAGACGATACTAGCAGACGATAAAAGCGACTGTTCACAATTTCGAGACATTACAGACGATGAAAGCGATATAGCGGATAGACCACGCGCTCCCACGCAGATTAGCAATACTGTTCTTCCGATTGAGGATTTAGCAGCGGTAGATGTCTTTGAATGTGCAAAACGCGATTAAACTCACCATGGCGCGAATGGGGAGCTAAACTAGGTGCCTTGGACTCACGAGCAAAGTAATTGGAGGAAGTTGCAGGAGATGCAGTAATTTACCCGCACATTTGCGGTATTTACAATGGAATCAAGGCCGAAAGGTTGCAATATCCATAATACCGAGCCTAAGGGTTAACAACTCATGGCTTCTGGATACTAAAACAAACAAACAAACAGATCCCCATCCACCCACTACGCGCGGCGCGGAGGACACTGTCGTCAGTGAGTTTAACCGCAATTTGCGCATGCCAAAAAGTGTGAGGACAACGACGACGCTAATCTGCATCAGAGCGCGTGGTCTCCCCGCCATGTGGCTATTATCGTCTGTAATGTTGCGTGTTTCGAAATTGTCAACGGTCCCTATTATCGTATTGTACTATCGTCTGCAGTGTTGTATCTCTTGAAATTGTCAAGTAATCCTAGTTTTGCCGCGATTTGTTCCTTGGCAGAAAGTCTGCATTTTACACACGACTGAGGCCCTGTTAGGCTATTTGCTTGGCTGCCATAATATCGGGTAGAAGTTCGGAGGAGAGCCACATCATGGAACAGTTAGTATTGGAGGTCGATATAAAACAAACTTAAGGTTTGCAGGTGACATTGATGGGTTGGCTGGAGAAAAACAAGAACTAGTCAAGCTTATAAATCTACTCAATGAAACATCAACCAAGTATGCATGGAAATAAATGCAGAAAAAATAAAAGTAATAATCCAGCTGGCAGAATTTCACCAATCTATGTTAAAGGCCACAAATTAGAACAATTGACTAATTTTTAAAATTTAGGATCCATTTTAAGTGACTTGGGGTCAAGACCAGAAATTATGTCTAGGATTTCCCAGACAACATCAGTCCTTGCCAAGCAGCAAACATTATAGAAATCTAAAAACATTTCATGCAAGACTAAGATTCGATTGCTCAGAGCACTAGCTATTAGTACATACGGCTGTGAAATGTGGTCCTTAACAGCTGAATTTGAAAGAAAGATACAAGCATAAGAAATGTGATGTTTCAGACAAATTCTTTGCATATCATACAGAGACCACATTACATATGAGGAAGTTCACCGTAAAATTATACAGCACATCAGCACTTATGAACCTCTTTTAACTACAGTGTAAAGTCGAAAAAAAGCAATGGTATGGACATGTAATAAGATATAACAGCCTCTTAAAAACAATACTGCAGGGCTCAGTAGAGGGAAAGAGGAGAAGAGGCAGACCAAGAAAGACCTGGTTACAGAACCTTACTGACTGGACAGGCCTCATGCATGCAACCATGAAGTCCATCGCACCTGACTGCCAAAGGTGAAGAGAAGCTGATCAGACAGTCAACAGAAACTGGTGACCCAACGACACATAGAGAGTTACCAGATGATGATGAACATATTAACTCTTTCAGGACCACTTTTTTTCTGGAGTTTGGACAACATTAATTTTGAGCGAAATTTTTTTTACTACAACACAACAAAGCTAAAACCTTCCTAGGAAAAAGTATCGGCTATATCGAGACATATAATATATCAAATTAAAGATAAATGAGTGCAGAATAAATCTAAACTATTTAAATGTCAGTATTGCAACAAAATATTAAGATCACACAACATTCAAGGATGTTAGACACATATGAAGATTATTGACATACAAAATGTTGTGCTTACCTTACTTTTTTACTTGTTTAACAACACTACTATCCAATTCTAAGAATGCACATGCCTTCTCTATTCAATTATGTATCAGCTAGTCTTTATTTGAAACAATTAATTTAAATACTTCAGATGTTTTGATAATTTTTGTATGACATGTCAAATTTCACTACAACCGAAAATCGGAAAAACAGCTGATCGAAACATTGATTCAATTGAAATATTTTGTTCAATTTTCATATCCTAAACTAAATTATTGCTAATAGGTTTGTCACTTAGATATCAATCAAAATATATCAAGACTGTTGTCACTATCTGGCAGACATTCATCAAAGACAAAGACGTATGAACAGCTCTAGACCTTTTCCCTTATCATTTAGTATAAAAAAATTAATTAAAAATTGTATCCCATCTTAATAGTTTTTAAAAAATCAGAAAATAATATGCCGACCACGATGAACTTCGCAAACGAAAAGACTTCCTGTTGTTAATCCTAATTGTTCGAAAACTTGATTGTAAAAGTTCGTTTTCCCTACAAACAAAACAAAATTAGAGTGTCTTTATCATGCGCCAATATACTGCAGATTCGTCCATTATGGATAAATTTATTCGCCAGAATACTGGCGATACGTCTTTAAAGAGTTAAAGCATTCTGTATGAATTCAGCTGCCGTGCAACATACTCATAATATACTACACATCAAAATGACCAGGGATTGTTGGGGAATAATTAATAAAATACACATCATCATATAGAAGGTCCTTCGCAGAACGTCACTCTCATCACGGTCTGCCTGAAAGAGAGACTTGGTCTCTCGCCAGCTCTCATGCCTCATGTACTTTCATACTCAAGTAGTTTGCCCATCTTTGTGTCAGTCAGCCCCTGCCCCTACCTTCCTGGTACCATGCCTTCTGCTATAATTCTTTCTAATCCGTCGTGGCACTTGATATGATCAAAATATATCAACTTCCAAGACAGGATGCTGTTTATTAGCCAATCTTCCTTGATGTTCAGATCTTTCAAGATGTCAGTATTTCTCCTCTTTTGTCCAAACTATTTTTAGAATCTTTCTTTAGCATTTTAGCCCAAAAGCCCCTATTCTCTTTCTTAGGACTGGGAGATAGTCCATGACTCACATCCGTATGTTGCCACAGGGAAGATGCATGCTCTCAAAATTTTCATTTTGATCGCCTTGCTGGTGCTTAACCATAGACTTTTAAGGCTGTTCAATGTTTGCAGTGCTATTGTCATCCTTCTTTTAATTTCTGTCGAACAGTCTCCATTGTTGTTTAATATAGAGCCTAGATATTCAAAGTTTGTGACATTTTAAATTTCTTTCATCATTTATTGTTTTTTTTTTTTTTGGGTGACACCCATTTTTTTCTGTGGACATTATTTTCGTTTTCTTTAAATTCAAAAACAGATTTTGATCTTCACTAAATAAAATACTACTACAATAAATAATTGTGTTAGTAGTTAAAAATTAGTAAATAAACAGACAGTATGTTTACAGAAATTGGTAAAATAAAATAATAATTTTTCCACCTAACACTATGGCGCTGAAGAAAAACTCGTTAAAATTTATCCAGAATGAATCACAAATAAACATGAACCACTTAGCAGTTTATAAGCAAAATTTAAACTCACTATGTACATTAGATCTTGTGTCAGAGAATCTTTTGAAGCATCATAACAGAGCACCATTATTTGGTAAAGATAACTGACTTCCCAAAACGGTTAGTATCTTCACACAAAACAAAGTTTATATAACATTCAGTGGACTTGTAATTTTGTAGCCGTGTTCATAAATAATAAGGAGAATAGTACTAGAACTAATGACACTGAATAAAATTTCATGTTCACTAATTGCTATTGTTGTACCCTTCACGTGAAGTGCACATTAGAGCCATCTCTCATCAAAGTTTGACTCTATAAATGACTGAAACAAGTCTACTTCGCAGCATTATCTAACTTTGGATAAATCTAATAATCACGAGCTTTATTTAAATTTGAGGCTTTTAAAATTGAAAAATCATGTTGGCATTGCATGTAGAATACTGCTCGGTGGCCATATTATTTTCACACGCACATTTAGTAACTCACTAAACCTTGCAAATGTACTATATTTTAGGCTTTCAGCCACATTTCCAAATGAGTTTGATAATCAGCACACCTGATATCAAATACAAAGAACTGAAAAGGAAGTTGAAATTGAGTGGTCCGCGTTTTATTACTGGTCAGTGGTAGATTAAAAACTTCACTTGTCATGTGCCAATTGGTTCGCTTGGTTGTAACCAATTAGGGCATGTTGCGCTTCTTGGGATTCAGAGAGTTTAAACAGATCATACTAATTAAACTGCTGCGCAACATACACATATTATACATCAAAATAACCAGGGATTGTTGAAGAATAATATTAGAATACTGCTACAAAAATAAATTGTGTTAGTATGCTAATTGTTAGAAAAATTAGTAAAAAGAATAATAATTTTTCCACTTACACTATGGCAGTCAAAGAATACTTGATAAAAGCCAAAATATGTCCAAAATGGATCACAAATAAACATAAATAACTTAATAATGTATAAATAAAATATAAATACAATCTGTCGATTAGATCTCATTCCAGAGAAACTTTTGGAACACCGTAACAGAGCACTAATTTTTGTTAAAGAAAAGTTATCTCTGAAAACAGTATTTTCACACACAAAAACTTAATTTTTTTTTAAAATCCTCAATTTGCCTGTAATTTTATACCCTTTGTTACCAAAAATAAGGGAATCGCACAAGACCTGACTGACACTGAAGAATATTACCTTTTTCACTAATTTTTATTCGCTTTGTACCAGCTGACTTTGTTATTTTTGTACACTTTGCATGAGGTATATATCAGAGCTATCCCTCATCAAAGTTTGACTTTATCAATGAATGAAACAAGACTGCTTCATACTTTCTTTGTCTAGCTTTGGACAGATCTGATAAACGCATATTTTGTTTAAATCTGAGGCTTCTAAAGTCAGAAACTTTATTGGCATGCATGAAGAAGGCCTTAATGTTTTAAACAGACATTTAGTAACTCGGTAAAACTCACAAACATGCTAAATTGTATGCTTTTAATCATGTTTTTGAATAAGACTAATGGTCAACACTTGCGACATCAAACACAGAGAACGGGAAATACCTTTCAAAACTGCCAGTTTGCATTGTTATACTGGCCACTTGTAAATTAAAAACCAGTAGTGTCATGCGCCCGAGTTTCTTACAGGCAGACTGTGATGAGAGCGATGTTCTGCAAAGGACCTGCTACATGATGATGATGATGATGAGTGTCATGCGCTGATTGGCCACCTGGATAGTAGCCAATTAGTGCGTGATATGTCCCTTGGGACTCAGAGAGCTAAGCAGAGATATTAACATTTTAGTGGTGTATATCGTCATAGACAAATTATAGTGGAATCTGACAGACGATGGAGTCCAGGCTGCGTCCCAGTAAAATGTAGGGTTGACATGACTAAATGTTTGCACTTTATGGCAAAAACTACTTTTTTAAGTTTTTTATGAATCCCCTAGCACCATACATCATTGCAATCGAGGCAGTAAGGCCTAACTGTATATGTATTTCTTAAATATAAATGTTGCAGTATAAAACATTTGCAACATTTTGAGGAGGCTTCTATAAATGCAGATAGAGCCAGTACACATTGCACGGATACTGGGCTCACTCAGAGAATCGTCACATCCTGCTCATGACTGTTTAACCTGACTTCCAAATATTTAGCCTTTCATTCATCACGAGTTATGCCTTTAGAAGCCAGCAGGGAACAGCCAGCAGACCTGGGATTTCGATTACCTGCACAGACTGAGCACTTTGGTTCTTATACATGTTAGCATTTTACTAAAGTGGACTTCCGTGTTCAGTATAGTTTCATATAACATTTCACACAAAAATGCCTAGTAGCATTCAGTGTGGCCTTTGTTGTATCTCAGTGCATCTTTTGTCGTGATCTCTAGATTTTCTAGGACTTCATTTGCCTCTTTGTTGGAATTTTGAATGCAGTGGGTGCCTCTACACACTTTTTATTTTCTCCTATTTTGAGAGAGTGTTATATTGTCTTCTTATTTAATGTTGTTCAGTAGCTACTTTCCTCTCTGTCTCTTTGATGGGGGTGGTTGGCTGTACCACTATACACTTGTTTCACAATTCTGTAGTTGGCACTCCATGTGATCCACCAGTATTTTCATCGCTATGAGTTTTCTGATTGTTTCCCCCTGTATTGTTTCTACTTGTAGCTTCCGGGTTAGTCATGAGTTGAGCGTATCTCAGCAAATGTTTGAAGTGTCATTCTTTGGCGTAAAATGTTTTTATTGGAAAATCTGAAGTAGTGGAGAAGGTACATAAAACAGTCACAAAGGTGTAATAATTTGTGAGGAGTTGCACCACAGTGATGGCAACCAAACTACAAATATATTATTATTATTATTTTTTGTCAACTGGATCTCAAAAAATAATTTTTTTTAATGAATAGCATACAGTCTTCATTTTAAATTTCACAATGAATGATAACTTTCAAATGTGAAAAGAAAAGTTACAAATTATGAAACATTTTTTGTTTATGTTTGTGATTTTTCCTCAAGGCCCTGACACAACTGAGAAAAGGCTCATTGACTGCTCAGGAAGTGTGCCATAACTGTTTGCAGAAATTGAAGTATACCAGGAATTTAAATATTTATGTCACAGAAGTTCAGCAAGACTCTATATTAAATGCTGCAGAGTCGTCAGCACAGGCATACAGGCAAGGTATTTCATCACGGTTATATAACTTTGTTGTTGTTTCTGGTTCTGTAAAATTCACTCCTATTTTATAGTTCATTTTCAAAGATATCAGATGTTTTGACCGAACTGGGAGAAAACAATTCCATGTCAGTTATTTACAAACTTGATGTTTTTCTAACCTATAACGTATTTTTGACTGTATTGAATGAAACCTGGGAACACAGACCTTCACCCATGCACTCCTGCTAACTGACTCAATGAGAATACTTTGAAAGCTCCAGATATGCTGGGGTTCAAAGAATGTTGTTGCAATTATATTGTTTTCTTTTCTTGCCAGGGCCTATGAGTTTAAGAGGAAATCCCTGTGCTTAGATGGAGGAAAACTATGTCAGAGTACAGGACAGCCACTATCTAGTTAGCCAGCCAGGGACAGATTCCCTTCTCTATACGCATGAATGTCAGACTTTCATATCTGACTCTTTGTTGTAGGCATCTTCAAGATCGAGTGCTGTAACAACTGTCTACTATCTCTTCTGGGACCCCTCATAAACATCAAAAGCAAAAGTAGCCACATTTGCCCATTTATCTTTCTCTGGCCGGTAACTACCGAGTCCTCTTGAAAGTCCTCTATACATCAGATAGAGCCTTGCAGTCGATGCTTCCATCCCAGTCTTTCCTGTAGTAGTATTAATTTTCAAAAAAAAAAAAAAACCTGTTCAACCCTCAGGGTTATAATTTGGATATTTAATCTTAATCGCCAGAGTTGGTGCACTGTGCTGAGGTTCTTCAGATTTAGGCTTGCGTTAGAAGCAGAACGGAGCACCTGAGGATTACTACCCTTGTGCTATGATGTTGATCTGTTGTATAAACCAAACCAGACCAAACTTTTCTTTCCCCCAAATGCAAAAGAGGCATGGCTGGTGAGGGCTAAATTGTGTACACACCATACATATTCACACTAGGAAAGTGAGTGGTTGGCTTGAGTGTTGACAGGTCAGGCACATTTTGGCGACGCCAAAAAAACCTCGCCTTTACAGACAGGAAACACTAGAAACTAGGCATGGCTTCACCAGGGAGGGTTAAACAAAATGTATCGTCTACCAAGTCTACTTTATCGATATCTCCGCCACTTTCGCATATATAGTTGAAACTCCACAGTGAAGGGAACACGACAGTAGCCTTCTGATCAGTAGCAGGAACATTCTTTGAATGTTTCAACTGCTTTTCCTTCCTTGCAGGTGAATATTGCAAGTCAATTTTTATTCTTTCTTTTCTACTTCATCATCGTTTCAACCATTGCCATGTGTTTAGTCATTGCCCTGAGTGCATCTGAGGCTCTTACCGTCCCCTGGCCCGTTCCACCACCGCATAAACTTGACACAAATATATGGGGGGGGGGGGGGGGGGGGGGGTGAGTGTAATGGAAGAACTTGTCTACTAGAATCCTAGCACTTCACCCCAGACAATTTGCACTGTTTGTATTCCCTGTGTTATTAATTTTCAAATAATTAATATTTAAAGTAATGAAGTGAGGTCACAGAAAAAGAAAGACACAGTATTACATCTTCATTAGCAGCCTATGGGGCAGGTGTATAGAATTATGTCCATAGCAGCGAACTTGCCTTTCCTCTTAGAGAAGTGTGCTAGCAGAACCCGCCTGTGACACTGTTCTGATTGAAGGGAAAAACAGTTTCCCTCATGTCTTTATCACTCATGTCCGTCGTGTGGGCATGTTTGACACCAGCACAGTGTCTGTTGCTTTTTTCAATGTACATTTTATTATTCTTTACCTAAATAATATCCTCATGGTATTATCATTTATGGTACTCAGTGGATCATCTTTAACCGATTCTCAAATTTTCCTATTATTATGATCTATCTGTGCCATAAATTGTGACAGAAATGCTTCCCCTTTCTCTGTGCATGGTCGTACCATTTTCTTTATATATTGTGCCTGTTGTGTAGTCCTGTTGTCACAAAACTATTTTTGCTGACTTTAAAATCCCACATAATGTTTAAGTAATAAAAACCAGACAAGGTTTTCATTTTTCACCACGGACATCGGTGGTTCTTGATCGCCTGTGATGTTTGTTCCTTGGCAGAGAATCACAAAAATGCACTGTAATGAGAAACAAATGGATTGAGGAAACAAGGACATTCAAGATAAATGGGAAAAAGGGGTTTGGGGGGGGGGGGGGGGGGGAATAAAGGCGCTGGACTGGATTCCATTCATGTTATAGGAAAAATTGCCCATCATAGAATGGAATTGAAGTCCAGACTGCAAACTCTTTGTTATGTATAATGGCACAACAAGATGATGATGTATATACAATACATGTGGAGTTTTTTAAGCATTAGAAATTTAAAACCTGGAGCTACAACAGCTCAAAAGCTGTAAATGCATTTTTTTTAAAATAACTGTCTTACATAAATATGTGTGTGGATATGCATGCATGTATTTACGCACACACAGTATTTGCAAAGAGGCACTTATAAACACAGTCATAACCCTTGTTTCAGGTTCCGCAAAATTGTTACAGGGCATACCTATAGCTTTCAAGGATAATTTCTGCACTAAAGGGATCAGCACTACCTGTGGTTCGAAGATGTTGCTGAACTATAAGCCACCATATAATGCAACAATGGTTTCCAAGTGTATGAGCGAGGGGGCCATCATCATGGGAAAAACAAATCTGGATGAGTTTGGAATGGGGTATACTTGTTTTAATAGCAATTATTATTGTTTTAAAATAATTATCATCATTGTCATTAGATTTGTGTGTATTTATGTTGTGATGGTCTGTCACATATATGGAGCAGTGTTAACTGATTCTGTCCCAAACAGCTCACTGTATGTGATTGGGTTTTGTTCACATGTTACAATCGTCATGTTATGTATGTTTTCACATCTTAAGTTTAGTGAGGGATTTTCAATCAATCGATCAGGTGCTGTCTGCACAGTGAAGGTTGGCTGCAATGGATCTCCAACATGCTGTGTCCCCTTTTCCTCATTGTATACTCTCTGAGACTGGTGCCCATCCATCTCTTGATGTTGTCCACTCACTTGTATCATTGCCCACTTCTTGCTCTCTTGCCTTCGACCTTTCCCTCCAGTAGGGTTTTAAAAAGTGTGTTATGTTTTTTAATGTGGCCAAAGTATTTCAGTTGTCTCTTTTTTATTTCTATCAGTAATTCTTTTGGACTGTTTTTGTTTCCATGAAATACGACTTGTTCTTCTGTAAACCCACATCTCCAGAGACTCAGTTCAATTTTCTAGTTGCTTGTTTATTGTCCACGTTTCTGCACCATATAGCAGGACTGAGTATACATAACATTTGACGATTATCATTTTTAGTGTCTTGTTTATCTGTCCAGTTGACAGTTAATTTGCAGATCTAAGTGAAGACAGTTTTAGCCATTCCTATTCTCTTTTTGATTTTGCAAAACTCTGAAAACATATTAGTTTTTTTTGTAAAGGTTGTGTATTTAGCCCCACTGAAAGTAGTATACCCATGTGTTTAGTAATACCATTCTTAACTCCCTTAGATATTAGCTAAGATCTTGTGGGACAGAGAGTGGAGGAGCTGTGTTGATGATATAGGAATACCCTGTCCCCTTGCAGTGAACATCACAAAAACATAAAGATACCAAAACAAGTAACAAATCCCTACTATCTTGGCAATGTAACAACAGAAGATGACATAAGTGAAATATAAATTAAAAAGAGAATAGGAGTGGTCAACAAAATGTTCACTAGCATCAGAAAAATATAAACCTCTAGAACGGCTATTCGATAAGTTTCCTCTTGGACCAAAATTGTGAAAACGGGCATCGTCACTGGTAAGAGGCGTAATCATAGAAAGATCATGAATATAAAACAATTGGAAGTGATTACTTGCTAGGCATCCACGTGTCAGAGAAAATATCCAAAAGATGCTAACTATCCGAGACTTCTGAAGTGATGCTTGCCACTCTGCAGGGAGCCTGCCTGTCTCCACCTTTCTAAGCATGCTCTGTGAGTCAATTACAGTTACGACATGTGTGTAAATCTGAATATCAAGCCAGTGGTAGGCAGCAGTGTCTGCCTCCATCTACATTCCTAAACTAGACTTTGTGATATCATATGCAGGCTTTGCTGCAGTAAGCAATGTCCATTCGCTTTTGCTACAGACCCCCCATACACTTTATCTACCTCCCAACCCAGAGCCATCTATATAATCACATCACCTGAGCGGGAATAGTCAGAATCAATCCTCCTTTATGTTTCTGTATACCCTGAACCTCTAGTGTAATATGATTCCACTGGCGCAGGTCAAGAATCACACGCTTCACCAGCAGTCATTGCCCATGTCTCCCCTGCCCCTCTTTCTCAGTACCATGCCTTCTGCTATTATTTCTTCCAACCCGCCAACATATTTCAGTTTCTGAGACAAGGTGCTGTTTGCTAGCCCAACTTCTTTGATGTTCAGATCTTTTAGAATGTAAAAGTTTGGTTACTAATTGAAAATTTGTTTAGGCTGATTTAGTATAAATGTAGCTTAATTCATTTCTTAATTTTAGATCAGGTAGCCTTGACAGTTGCATTGGACCAGTTATTAACCCTTGGAATCTAGTTGTCTCAAATCAAACCAGTGTGCCGGACAGTGTTTCCTCAGAATTAAACGGTGAGCAAGGTCTATCTCCAAGAGAACAGTGTAAGGTGGAAGATACGGACTGGTACATATGTGGAGGCAGCTCAGGTGGAAGTGCTGCAGCTGTTGCAGCAGGGACCTGCCTTGGGTAATCAAGTGTGCCAACTTGTCATTTTTGTTTGCTTGGCTTTGTCTGTTGTTTATTTATAAAATGTCTTTATGCGCTTAGTCAATAAGCATAAGTATTCATGCCTCTTTGCAACTCTTTGTATAATACTAGGTGTATATGACTATTTTCATGCCATGTACTCTCTCTCTCTCTCTTTCCCTCTCTGTCTCCGTGTCTCTCTGTGTTCTGTCTGTGAGATAGATAAAGAAAAGAGTTATACTATCTAAACCAGGACTATTCAACTGACGGCCCGTGGACCAGATTTGGCCCATGGATGCCTAGCAAGTGGCCTGTGAATTATTGCCATTTGTGTGGTATTAATGATCTTTCTATGCGGGGTCTTGGGGCTTTGGCCCGTAACGATCCCCATTTTCAAAATATTAGTCCCTGAGTAAATTTATTTGAATAGCCCTGGTCTAAACATTCTTGTAACAAGCATGAACAGTGTCATTAATAAAAAAAAAAGAAATTTCGTGAAAACATTTCATGACATGCCAAAATCCTACTCATGTAAAGTTTGTATCCAGCCTCTTCTTTTGTAAGGAAACAAATCTTCTTCTTGCGTTCACCTGCTGTAAATCTGGCAGAAAGTTCTGGTTGTTCATCCACTTCTGGACTTTAGTCTTTTTCCAGAACTTCACCTGTGCATGCACATTTGTTTTACACATCTGGCTTTTTTTCTGCAGACTTCTAATTCTTTGCCTCTCAGACAGATGCGCTCTGACTTTGAAGAAAACCACAATTGAGTAGACTGTTAGGACATGCTAGTTAGGGAGGCAGTGGGCCCAAAACCCACCCAGGGATTTTGGAAACAAATACTGGACAATAAAGAAATGATAAGGAAATGGGAAGCAGTAAAATGTTGACAATACTAGAGAAAGAGAATTAGACAAATATTAAAGTTTAACATTAGGTCTTTTGAGCTCATTTATTAAACTCAAGACTACAAAGTAACAGTGCTAAAACCAGATATATTAATTGAAGAAGTAGAAAATGTAATCAAACCTAAATATAAAGCACCAGGAGCTGATAGATTACCAACTGAAATAATCCAAGCAGCCTGTGGAAACAACATCAGATGGCTTTTATTTCCTTTCACCCCCGTAGATCATGGTGCTTTCAGCGAAAATAGTTTCTTCACGCGGGACTTCTAGATGCTGTCAACCCATTCTAATCAGAGGTTGCCAGTTTAGATCTTTTAAAGTATGCTCAAGTGAGTCTTTCACTATCAGTTCATCAGTTAACTGTCTTTTCTGCCAGCCATACCACTGTAACATTTGCTAACGCTGTGGTCATACTAGAATTAGTTAAACAACGCATTTATTGTGTAACAGTAATGTTCAAAGATTTTAATGATGTTTTAAATAGATTTCAAATTATTGATTTATTTAAGTGAACATTTGTGTATAATTGTGTACATTTCTAATGTGGGATGAAAATTACCTCCATAATACAGTGTATTTAATTGTTTCCACCTGTTTTTTCGCCTTTTATTTGTTTAGAATGAGTCGTAAAAAACACTGAACTATTGACTGAAAGACAAGGGGGCACACAAATTCTGGAATAGCTTGAGTAAATATACAACAACAACAACAGTTTTTGCTTAACATTTTTAAGTTTCAGCAAAAGTATAACCATTTGAATATTTACAGATCTTTTGGATCAGACACTGGGGGGTCAACCAGAAATCCTGCCAGCTATTGTGGAGTTGTGGGACTGAAACCAACCTATGGGTTACTGTCAAGACATGGGCTTATTCCTTTAGTCAATTCCATGGATGTTCCTGGGATTTTAGCAAGAACGGTGGAAGACTGCACAATCATTCTGAGTATGTAGACGAGATCATGAAGGAAATGTTATTTTAAGAATGTAGATAAGATAGTGAAGAAAATTTTATTTTAAGGATGTAGATTGTTTTCTTCTTCATGTTCTTTACATAAATGCCGGTGGAAGGTTCTGATTTTTATCCACCTCTGGACTTTAGTCTTGTTCCAGAATCTGAGTGTTGCGTGCACATCAGTTTTACAGATCCAGCTTATTTATACACAGATTGTTAGTTCCTTGCCTCTCAGGCAGATGCATTCTGACTTCGAAGGAAACCCATAATTAGTTGACTCTTACGACATGCTTGTAGGAGAGGCAGTGGGTCTGTTCCATTTATGTCATAAGAAGGCGAAAACTGGAGTAGTACATTATGATGGTGGGTAAACTGGAGGGGAAAAAATGGCAGGCAGAGACTGAGAGAGAAGATGCTGGACAGTTTGACACTATGGCATGGAAGATCATCTGTGTCAGAATTGATTAAAGGTACACGGTACAGAAGATTGTGGATAGACATGAATACCACCACCGCACGGAATGGACTTTAAGAAGAAATACTAGTTGTTTATGGCATTATCCACATTACGGGCAGCAGTCTTGGCTGACTGGCTACAGGAGTAGAGTAATATCCTACTAAACAGGGAACGATAATCTTTTATAACAAACACTGGAATAGTGAACAAGTAAGAATCTGTTCAAAGCAACAACTTTTTAAGTGAGAAGGCAGAATTTGTGGCACACATGAGGCATGCTTGCAACACAATAGGGAGCATAGCTGGCCATCGTGAAAGAGATTGGAACCTCACCAGTTGACATCCTAAAGTCAGTAGTGGTAATCACAATGAAAATAAGAATTATCAAATGTTTTGTACTCAGCCATACTCTTCTTCTTCTTTGCACTCACCGGCTGTAAACTCCGGTGGAAAGTTCTGGTTTTCGTCCATTTTTGGACTCTAGTCCTGTTCCAGATACTGAGTGTTGCTTGCACATCCGTTTCACATATCTGACTCATTCGCATGCAGACTGTTGGTTCCTTGCTTGTCAGGTAGTTGTACTTCCGACTTCGAAGAAAGCTTCCAATGAGTTGACTTTTATGACATGCTACGACACAGTGGGTCTATTCTCGTTTATTCACAGTGAGAGCCCCGGAACCCACACAGGGACTTAGCCATACTGTATGATGCAGAGATCTAGACAAGCATTTTAAAAAACCAGTCTCTGGAGATATGGATGTAATATGCAGAAAAGCAGGTTGTATTTCATAGAAAAAAAAAAACAGTCATATACAGACATTTACCAGAGACTAGAAATGAAAAGAGAGCTTTAAAAGGTGGTATAAGAGACACCAGTGAAATATTTCTACCATTTTAAAAGAAATAACAGTCTTGTACAACTATATTGAAGGGAAGGCAAACAAGCAAGAGGTGGATTATGATACAAATGGAAGGGTAACATTAAGAGATGGATGAACAGCAGTCTTGAAGCTTGTACATCCAGGGTAAAAGACAGAACTGGTTGGAGAATGCAGCTAGCCTTTATTCTGGAAACTGCATTTGAGTGATTGATTGATTGATAGGGTAGAAGAAGAAGAATACTACAGTTTATTTGATATTCTACTTTACATTTTTGGCCTCGGTTGTGAATTACTTTACACTGTTGGCCTCAGCTATGTGTTACTTTACACTGTTGGCTTCAGCTGTGAGTTAATTTACACTGTTGGCCTCAGCTATGGGTTACTTTACACTGTTGGCCTCAGTTGTGACTTACTTTACACTGTTGGCCTCAGCTTAGAATTACTTCACACTGTTGGCCTCAGCTTAGAATTACTTTACACTGTTGGCCTCAGCTTAGAATTACTTTACACTGTTGGCCTCAGTTGTGACTTACTTTACACTGTTGGCCTCAGCTTAGAATTACTTTACACTGTTGGCCTCAGTTGTGACTTACTTTACACTGTTGGCCTCAGCTTAGAATTACTTTACACTGTTGGCCTCAGCTTAGAATTACTTTACACTGTTGGCCTCAGCTTAGAATTACTTTACACTGTTGGCCTCAGCTTAGAATTACTTTACACTGTTGGCCTCAGCTTAGAATTACTTTACACTGTTGGCCTCAGCTTAGAATTACTTTACACTGTTGGCCTCAGCTTAGAATTACTTTACACTGTTGGCCTCAGCTTAGAATTACTTTACACTGTTGGCCTCAGCTTAGAATTACTTTACACTGTTGGCCTCAGCTTAGAATTACTTTACACTGTTGGCCTCAGTTGTGACTTACTTTACACTGTTGGCCTCAGTTGTGACTTACTTTACACTGTTGGCCTCAGCTTAGAATTACTTTACACTGTTGGCCTCAGCTTAGAATTACTTTACACTGTTGGCCTCAGCTTAGAATTACTTTACACTGTTGGCCTCAGTTGTGACTTACTTTACACTGTTGGCCTCAGTTGTGACTTACTTTACACTGTTGGCCTCAGTTGTGACTTACTTTACACTGTTGGCCTCAGTTGTGACTTACTTAACACTGTTGGCCTCAGTTGTGACTTACTTTACACTGTTGGCCTCAGTTGTGACTTACTTTACACTGTTGGCCTCAGTTGTGACTTACTTTACACTGTTGGCCTCAGCTTAGAATTACTTCACACTGTTGGCCTCAGCTTAGAATTACTTTACACTGTTGGCCTCAGCTTAGAATTACTTTACACTGTTGGCCTCAGCTTAGAATTACTTTACACTGTTGGCCTCAGTTGTGACTTACTTTACACTGTTGGCCTCAGCTTAGAATTACTTTACACTGTTGGCCTCAGCTTAGAATTACTTTACACTGTTGGCCTCAGTTGTGAGTTACTTTACACTGTTGGCCTCAGCTTAGAATTACTTTACACTGTTGGCCTCAGTTGTGACTTACTTTACACTGTTGGCCTCAGCTTAGAATTACTTTACACTGTTGGCCTCAGTTGTGACTTACTTTACACTGTTGGCCTCGGCTTAGAATTACTTTACACTGTTGGCCTCAGCTTAGAATTACTTTACACTGTTGGCCTCAGCTTAGAATTACTTTACACTGTTGGCCTCAGCTTAGAATTACTTTACACTGTTGGCCTCAGCTTAGAATTACTTTACACTGTTGGCCTCAGCTTAGAATTACTTTACACTGTTGGCCTCAGCTTAGAATTACTTTACACTGTTGGCCTCAGCTTAGAATTACTTTACACTGTTGGCCTCAGTTGTGACTTACTTTACACTGTTGGCCTCAGTTGTGACTTACTTTACACTGTTGGCCTCAGCTTAGAATTACTTTACACTGTTGGCCTCAGCTTAGAATTACTTTACACTGTTGGCCTCAGCTTAGAATTACTTTACACTGTTGGCCTCAGTTGTGACTTACTTTACACTGTTGGCCTCAGTTGTGACTTACTTTACACTGTTGGCCTCAGTTGTGACTTACTTTACACTGTTGGCCTCAGTTGTGACTTACTTTACACTGTTGGCCTCAGTTGTGACTTACTTTACACTGTTGGCCTCAGTTGTGACTTACTTTACACTGTTGGCCTCAGTTGTGACTTACTTTACACTGTTGGCCTCAGCTTAGAATTACTTCACACTGTTGGCCTCAGCTTAGAATTACTTTACACTGTTGGCCTCAGCTTAGAATTACTTTACACTGTTGGCCTCAGCTTAGAATTACTTTACACTGTTGGCCTCAGTTGTGACTTACTTTACACTGTTGGCCTCAGCTTAGAATTACTTTACACTGTTGGCCTCAGCTTAGAATTACTTTACACTGTTGGCCTCAGTTGTGAGTTACTTTACACTGTTGGCCTCAGCTTAGAATTACTTTACACTGTTGGCCTCAGTTGTGACTTACTTTACACTGTTGGCCTCAGCTTAGAATTACTTTACACTGTTGGCCTCAGTTGTGACTTACTTTACACTGTTGGCCTCAGCTTAGAATTACTTTACACTGTTGGCCTCAGTTGTGAGTTACTTTACACTGTTAGCCTCAGCTGTGAGTTACTTTACACTGTTGGCCTCAGTTATGAATTACTTCACACTGTTGGCCTCAGCTGTGAGTTACTTTACACTGTTGGCCTCAGTTATGAATTACTTTACACTGTTGGCCTCAGTTGTGACTTACTTTACACTGTTGGCCTCAGTTGTGACTTACTTTACACTGTTGGCCTCAGTTATGAATTACTTCACACTGTTGGCCTCAGCTTAGAATTACTTCACACTGTTGGCATCAGTTATGAGTTTTCACATGTGTAATTTAAGAAGTAATTTTTAAATATTTGTTGATTCAATCACCTGTATATCTAGACGCTGCTGCAGGACATGATGTCAGTGATTCTACCACAGTTACTGAATCTTATGTTCCGTTTACAGTCAGAGAGGACATTGATCTTTCAAAATTACATATTGGCATACCAAAGGTATAGTGTTTGGTAAAGATATTCTATTTGATTCCTTTTGCACACAAAGTTGCTTAGTTCTGAGCAGTTAGTGGATTAACATTTTGTTGTCAAAAATGGCCCTTAGAATCCGCGTGCACTTGCCAGAGGCTTTGTGGCTGTTCCAGAAACATGCAAAATAAAAACTGAATAAATCATGTGAAACAAAAAATAGAATCAAAATGTTAAAAACATTTAAACAAAAAAATCTAGAAATTACATTCTGAACATAAATTTGCCAGATTAAATGTTGTGCTTTGTCTACTTGGTCATTCTGCTGCCACTGGCTCCAGAATTATTTTAGCCTGAGACAGGCAGTGTGAGAGAGTGCCAGCCTATTATTTTCTGTCAGTTCAAGAGAAGGGTGCGTGATAATTTTAAATTGGTACTGAATGTGTTACATGTAAGCAAAAGACCACCCACTGAGTGTACTGTCATCCGAGCTGATACACAGCATCCACTGAGTGTACTGTCATCTGAGCTGATACACAGCATCCACTGAGTGTACTATCATCCGAGCTGATATACAGCACATTGACCTTAACTTTCCTTCATGTCTCTGACTGAAATCACTGCATCACTTCTAGCAAGTACACTAATTACTGGTTTATAAGTTTATAATTGATTATTTCATTCATTTATTGTCCTACTGTGCCATTATATATGAGGAGAAGTCAATAAGTAAGTCACAAATGGTTGTTTTAAAAAAAAAAAAGGATGATAACAACTTGAAAATTGTTTGTTTTTACACATACACTGTCCCTTTATTTTTCAATATAATTTTCACCAACATTAATACGCTTGTCCCATCAGGTTTTTTTTTTTCAATCCTCCCAAACCTGCTGCATAAAACTAGCTGCTCTGTTTTCTAAACTACATTATTACTACACATTTAACTTCTGCGTCATTCACAAAATGTCTTCCGCCAATGTGGGTTTCAGTGGACTGAAAAGATGGAAATCCCTTGGGGTTAAGTCGGGGCTGTAAGATAAATGTTACAGAAGTTCCCACCCTAGATGGTTAATTTTCTCCCAAGTTAACCGAGCCATATGAGGTCTGGCATTGTTATGAAGGAGCAGTACTCCTCTAGTCAGCAGGCCTGGACGTTTTCTTGGAATTGCATCATGAAGCATTGATAGAACATTACAGTATGAATCAGCATTCACATTGTTACTATTTTTTTTTAAAATTGATTGAAAGCACTCCTTGACAATCCCATAACGATTGTCAGCATAACCTTCCCTGCTGATGGCGTAACCTTAAATTTTTGAATACAAAGCGAAGAAGGATGTTTCCATTGCATTGAAGCAGGCTTTAATTCGGGCTGGTATTGATGCACCCTTAATTCCTCCCCAGTAATAATCCTGTTAACTGTAGGCCTCTTCAGTTCCTTTTGTGTTGGTCAATTGTCTGGGTACCCACCTTGAGCACACTTTCTTAAATTTCAGTCGATCATGTATTATGTTGCATGCTGAACCATGTGAGTACCCTATTGCAGCTGCTACAGAGTCAACCATTACTTGCCGGTCACTTCTAATAATCTCCTCCACCCGCTGCACAGATACCCCTGTTGCAATCTCAACAGGACGACCAGATAGGACTTCATCAAAAATTTTAGAGTGCTCTTGAGAAAATATTTTTACCTAGGTATGCACCGCCTTACGTGATAAACAATTGTCAGCATAAACAGGAAGCATTTTCTTATGAATGTCCTTTGCATGCAGCTTTTTTACCTAAAACAAAACGCACAACAGCACATTGTTCTTTGAGGGTACACTCCATAAGTACAGTCGCCATTTTATTTCTGTATTGTTAATGTGAATGCATCACCTAGCGCTACCTAATGAAATGAGACATAAAAGTTTGATGTTGCTGTCACCTAATGACACCTTTAGAAACCACCAACTGCATTTTCCAATCTCCTTTGGCTTTTGTCATCAACACTAACCTTAGGGTTTCTCTTGGATGTCCTTATTTTCTTGATCCCTCTTTTTCCTCTTATCTACACTATTCACGTTGGCTGTCCTAATGCTGTTGGAGGGCCTGTTGGGGAAGCAATGGAATAATAGCCACACTTAACAAGACTACAAAGACGTGCAAGCTGATACTTGAGATTAAGAAAAATTCCAAGCTAGAACTATGGCTACCGAATGAGATGGTGGTGGTGGTCACCTTATCCCACATTTACCGGAGATTGGTTGTCAAATGGATCCAACTTTACTAACCGACAAGTAAATACATGACCAAATACAGAAAGAAAACCCAAAATGATTTATCACCAAGGTAGAGCAGCTGGGATCCAGACACAATCCGACAATGGTGGCTGTTGTGACAACTGAAGGTGACCAAATTCCTGATAAAGTTATGATTGACAGGAAGCCACAGAAACCAGAATGTGGCATAATTTGTTCAGGCTTTCCAAAGTTGCTGATTCCTTGCCAGTGAGTGTAATAATGTATATCTTACATTGATCATTACCGATAATTAAAACATGAGTGGTTACAGATGTCTGTATACTTGTGTCATTAGGAATTTCACGCACCAGGTATGTCAGAAGAGGTACTCAGTTTGTGGAAAGAAACAGCAGACTGTCTGGAGAGAGAAGGAGCTAAAGTATCCCAGGTTTCATTGCCACATGCTCAGCAGTGTATCATCTGTTACCATGTTTTGTGCTGTTGTGAAGTTGCTTCCAATTTTTCCAGATACGATGGAATTGAGTTTGGTAAATGTTTTTTCTTCTTAAATTTTGTTGTTATAATAGTGTGTTTTGCATATTTGAAAAAGACTACACAAGGGTGAATTATAGGTGTGTGCTCTTCATAATGAAGTCACTGGAGGTTGGTCTCTGAGTAGTCTGATCAGCTGGTGACTTTGATCTTAAAACAGGCATATAGTGTATGTAAAAATGGAACCTCAATGTAAAGATAGCAAGATCAGACAGGACACTTCACTAGGACATTGTCAAGTGCTTGTGATATCCTGGATTTGTTTCCTTTTTTTTCCCTTTCAGTTTCTTACTTGTTATCCATGTCGACATCCTAGCATATTGGTTGACCCACATGTGCTCCTTTCTCTGATGCAGCAGCCATCTCAGTGTCTCCATCATACTCAGTGTTCCCAGTAGGAGTTGACTGACATGTCGTCTTTCTTTGCCCCACATCTGGTTTCTTTGTGCATGTCCTAATTTAACACCCATTTCCAGCAGGCTGGTCATCAACTCTTGTCCTTATCTCAACATCTCTAGAATGCATCCCATACAGTAAGTTAGCACTGTCCGTACTTCTATCTCCACTAACCAGTGTACAGCTAGGTTGTCGGCTCTTTTATTTCCTTTCAAACCTGCATATTCTGATTTGAACAGCCAGGCTAGTTTCTTGAGGTGGGACTTCTGGATGCCTGAACCCATTCTAGTCAGAGTTTGCCAGTTTGTATCTTCTTAGGCAGCTTATGGAGTCTGTCACGATTAATACGTGAGCTGCTTTCTGTTTTGCCAGCCATGCAGATGCCCCTGTGGCAGCTGCTGTCGCTACCACCATGTTAGAAGTAGTTGAATGGAATGCCTGACTTTTTTTCTTTTACTGTCTTCCCATTTGCTTATGCTGTGTATGCCCACCCAGACCGCAGCCCACAAATCACTGAACAATCTGTAAGATGATAACATCACCTGGTCGAGTCCACTCGTTGATGAGAGCTCTTATTTCAGTATCAGAAGATGTTTGGCTCTGTTTTCTGTTTAGCTCCATTTTCTGCAGTACCATCCAGGTGATTATTACTTCACTGTGCTCCTGCAATTTTGTTGGTTTTAATTAATCATAAGAACATATAGCAGACTCTAAAACCATTGAAGAATAGCCTTTCACATAATAAAAAGCAGGTTTTTTTTGTGTCTTTAAATATCCAGAAACCATGAGTTGTTAACCCTTTGGCTCGGTACTATGGATATCACAACCCTTCGGCCTTGATTCCATGATAGGTACCGTAAATCTGGGAGAAATTTGGCTTTTCTGCCTACCCCCGGGAGTGAACCCGGACCACAAGGAGTTCATCACCCGGTCACAGCGAAGCAGGTTTAACCAACTATGCTGGAGAGCCGGACAAAAAGCAGTTCTAAAAATGTTGAGCATGTAAATACATGATTGTCTGAGGTTTTTATGCTTCAATGTTTGGTGTACATCTGATTTTTATATTTCTATTTTTTCATCTATTTTGACCAGTTTTTAGTTTCTGTATAGTATAGCATTGCGACCAAGAGGTTAGGAATGTATTTAAAAATTTCACAACTGTCAAGTAGCAGGGTTTGATTACCATGACAAATGGTTTGGTCAGTGGCACAAGATATGCACTGGGGAAGAGATTGGGCCTCATCATCATCATTAATCTGGTCCTTTACAGAATGTGGCTGTGTCACAGCACACCTGAAAGTCTTTCTCTAGCTAGTTCTCCAGCCCTATGTGCTTTCAAAACCAGCTCATTTTCAGTGTCTTGTAGCCTCAATCGGGGTCTGCCTCTGCCTTGTTTTCTGGAAACTGTACCCTCCATTACCGGGGCCTGACCACTTAATACTCCTAAAGACAGCAGTGGGCACATTACCTCCAGGCTTATTCTGTATCATGTTTAACAAGACATAAATGCATGCCTGTTTCTTATTTTAGTCTACTTCTATTATTATTATGTGATTGTCAAGGTCTCAGATGTGGAAGTGAGGAGTCTACAGAAGAACTGTATGCTGAAAGTCGACATAAAGGCTTCAATGATGTTGTTAGAGGACGAATACTTGCTGGCAATTATTTTTTGCTGAAGAGGTAATTATCTGTTGTAGCAGTTATGGAGCGTTTTAGAATTGTATGACGGACTTTTTTTTCATATTTTATCATATTTTATCATATTTTTTCATATTTTAAATAATTTATTATATTAATTATAGGAAAACACTGTTGCCTTTTCATTTTTGTTAATTTGTGAATTTCTTTGTATAGTATACAGTCAGTATACTAATCAACTGTTTCATGATTTTACCAGACAGGTTTAATGACTTTGTTAGCATTTTTATGTTAATCTAAAGCAGTGGCCAGTTTTGAAAACTTGTTAATAAATATGTTCCTACTGACATTATTCAATAATTCTACATTTGTATGTGTGCATGAATGTTAAAGACATATATATTCTTCTGATTCTCAGAAATTATGAGAAATATTTTCTGAAAGCTCAACGAGTTCGGCGGCTCATAAGCAATGATTTTAAGAATGCATTCTCCAGTGGCATTGATCTTCTGTTAACACCTACAACACTGACCGAAGCACCATTGGTCAGTTGGTTTACCAAAGCAGATAACAGAACGAGATGCGAGGAACAAGATATCTTCACAACACCTGCAAACATGGCTGGTAAATAGTCATACGTCATGTTTAAAGATTTGTTTTTTCCTCGAGTCTTTGTCTTCGTAATTCAGAGCAGTTAAGTAAATCTTTTAGTTTGTCATAAATCAGTTATTTTTAATTTTACCTTGTGATAAATTACACGAAACTGGGAACAGTTACCTCCGCAAAGATGAATACAAGACATTGAAGTTGCATTCCTATCACATAAACATGAACATATACAAGAGAAAAGTAACAGACGACACTGCACAGCAGAAATGGTGGGACTGAGAATAAATACACAGAAAACTAAGATCATGACAAACAGTCCAAACTAACAACCAGTGACCATAAGTAACCAATCACTTGAAAATGTAGAACATATCACATATCTTGGCAGTGTGGTGTCTCTACTGGGAGGGACAGAGGAAGACATACAGTCACGCCTGAACAAAGCTAGAGCTGCTTTAGGAAGGATGAGGCAAATCTGGAAATCCAACAATTACTGCAGAGGAACAAAACTCAGACTCTACACGAGCATCATTTTGCCAGTTCTTCTTTATGGAGCGGAATGCTGGAGAATGACCAAAAAGGATGCACACAAGCTGTCCACCTTCCACCAAACATGTCTACATAGAATTATCAAATTTTTCTGACCAGATACAATCTCAAACACTAAACTACCTCAAGCCACAAACCAAGAAACTTTAGACAGTATGATTACCAAGAGAAGATGGAAATGGCTTGGCCACGTTATGAGAATGACTTCTGATATACCTGCCAAAACAGCTCTCACATGGACACCAGAGGGAAAGAGAAAACAGTGGCGCCCAAAAACAACGTGGAGACATACGATGGAAAGTTACCTGAGTGCGGCATCTTTGACATGGAAAACTGCACTGAAGATTGCACAGGACAGAAAAGTATGGAAAGTCCTCTCTGAAGCCTCATGTGCCACTAGGCATAACGAGAACTGAGATGAGAGAAGTTGCATTGGCTATGAAAGCACAAATGGCTAGAGAAAGAGACTTTCAGGTGGGCCGTGACAAATGCAAAGTTCGGTAAAGAACCTGCTGATTGAGGATGATTATGATAAATAACATAATTTTTAATTTTACTGAACTATATTTATATATTTTAATACATTATTTTTTGAACTACTAGTTTTATTTTATATGTAATTAGTGACACTACAAACATTACTAAATAGGAAATTAGCAAAATGGTTAACATGTAATGCAAAATCTAACTGTAATACAGGAGAGCTAAAATTGTCTTTATGAACCCGTAGAGTACGAAAAATATCAGTGGCAGTAGACTTCTGAAAATAAATAGTCAGTACGGTTAAATGAAACCTTTTCTTCACACATGGAGATTCATGAATGTACATGTATAAATGTAGCAACCTGAGACGGAAGCCGTATTATTTTTAAAGTGCCTAAATAAAACGTATCAGCTGACCTCAATTTTGAAACACCCGGCTATCCCAGTACAAATAAAAAGACTTATCATAAATGCAATCTTGATACAAACTTTGTGCTATCTGTGTCAGACTTGGACATTGACTAAAGAACAGGAAAGAAAACTAAGCACCTGTGAAATAAGATGTTTGATAAAGGCTGTGAGCAAAACTAGAAGAGATCATGTGAGAAATTAAAAAGTTACAAGAACTATTTGAACATGCCTAAAATAGATTCATTGAAAAACAAATATCGAATTGATTGTGACCATTTAATGAAAATGAATCCAATGGCGCCAGCAAACGTAACATACAACATAAAAGTAGAAATACCAAGATGTAGAAGACTACCCAAAAAAAATATGGATTGAAGTAGTCACTGATACATTGAGACTCCAAACAATCACAGCATGATGGGCAATCCACAGTGCCCTAGCTTGGAAATCAATCATCTGTTGGCCTAGGACACCTAGTGGCACAAAGCAGAAAACTGACAAAAGAAGACTAAATAAAAAAACTAAACAATCAGTGACTGATGCAAAAGCCTTACTAAAAGTTTAAGTAAGCACTGACCAGATGATTATAACTGCATGAGAGAAGAAAAGGGTAAAAGCAAGTTAAATGACAAACCAACCAACCTAGGTTGACAAAAGTTTAAGTAAGCACTGACCAGATGATTATAATAACTGCATGAGAGAAGAAAAGGGTAAAAGCAAGTTAAATGACAAACCAACCAACCTAGGTTGACAAAAGTTTAAGTAAGCACTGACCAGATGATTATAATAAATGCATGAGAGAAGAAAAGGGTAAAAGCAAGTTAAACGACAAACCAACCAACCTAGTTTGACAAAAGTTTAAGTAAGCACTGACCAGATGATTATAATAACTGCATGAGAGAAGAAAGGGGTAAAAGCAAGTTAAACGACAAACCAACCAACCAACCTAGTTTGACAAAAGTTTAAGTAAGCACTGACCAGATGATTATAATAACTGCATGAGAGAAGAAAGGGGTAAAAGCAAGTTAAATGACAAACCAACCAACCTAGGTTGACAAAAGTTTAAGTAAGCACTGACCAGATGATTATAATAACTGCATGAGAGAAGAAAGGGGTAAAAGCAAGTTAAACGACAAACCAACCAACCTAATTTGACAAAAGTTTAAGAAAGCACTGACCAGATGATTATAATAACTGCATGAGAGAAGAAAGGGGTAAAAGCAAGTTAAACGACAAACCAACCAACCTAGTTTGAACCAACCAACCTAGTTTGACAAAAGTTTAAGTAAGCACTGACCAGATGATTATAATAACTGCATGAGAGAAGAAAGGGGTAAAAGCAAGTTAAATGACAAACCAACCAACCTAGGTTGACAAAAGTTAAAGTAAGCACTGACCAGATGATTATAATAACTGCATGAGAGAAGAAAGGGGTAAAAGCAAGTTAAACGACAAACCAACCAACCTAATTTGACAAAAGTTTAAGAAAGCACTGACCAGATGATTATAATAACTGCATGAGAGAAGAAAGGGGTAAAAGCAAGTTAAACGACAAACCAACCAACCTAGTTTGACAAAAGTTTAAGTAAGCACTGACCAGATGATTATAATAACTGCATGAGAGAAGAAAGGGGTAAAAGCAAGTTAAACGACAAACAAACAGACCTAGTTTGACAAAAGTTTAAGTAAACACTGACCAGATGATTATAATAACTGCATGAGAGAAGAAAAGGGTAAAAGCAAGTTAAACGACAAACAAACAGACCTAGTTTGACAAAAGTTTAAGTAAACACTGACCAGATGATTATAATAATTGCATGAAAGAAGAAAGGGTAAAAGCCAGTTAAACGACAAACAAACAAACCAACCCAGTTTGACGGAAAGATGGGAATCTGTGCACTGTTGGAATAATGGAAACAATCATAAATGTTTATGATTCATTTTTGTTGTTTGCGTGTTCTATTATAACAGGTGTTCCTGCACTCAGCTTGCCCCTCAAACTGTCATCTAATGGGCTGCCTCTCAGTTTACAGCTGATTGGACCCCACTTCAGCGAGTCCATGATGCTTTCTGTGGGACACTGGTTGGAAGACAGAGCAGCTTTTCCTCATTTAAATCTCCACCTACTTGAATCTGATACTGGAGAGCTAACTTCCAGAAGTCTTTGGACATTATGAGAGTCAATGTTAGATAAATATTTAGTGATGCACTTTATGGTGCTAAATATTTAATGATGAATGTGCAGCATCTGAGGGAATAAACATTACAATTTGTTATTAAAAATAAGTAGAATGTTTTTAACTTCCTTCTGTTTCATTGGCATTTTGTGTGTGTGTGTGTGGGGGGGGGGGGGGGGTTGACTATTTAGGCCTGTCTTGTATACTTATTGTTTGTGATAATTAATGGCTATATTGATACAACAAAAAGTTAGTTTCATTTTATCAGGTTTTGCTGCGCAACGTGCACTGTATATCAGTCTCTAATAAGTACCAGGTCCTGCAACAGTTAGAAGATGAGATGAACACTGAAGGTATTTGAAAAGAATTATGTACTGAGGTCCTTGATAAAAGGAATGGAAAGAAGGCATGATAATGCCTAAACACTTTAACATTTTGAGCTGAGGTAAGTTAACAGCCAACATCGAAGCACTTGGGACATTCCTGTAAGTGCTGCATCCCTATGTTCAGCAGCCAGCACAGAGTTCCAATTCTATTAGTACTGGTAACAGTTTGATTATAAATCAGACTTGCCATTCCATTGAGTATCAGCCAGATCCCTTCCCACTGCACCATTCTCTCCAGACCATAATGTTGTCTGTGTACTTCCATGCTGTTCACTTGCCCTCAAATGCCAACGGCCACGTCTAGTTTGTCATGCGTAAATTTACCAGCCAGTGGTATAAAACCAGGCAGGCAGGCAGTCTATTTGTTAGTTAGTATGTTTATTCATTCCTAATGCAGCGCGTGTGCAGACACCTAGTGGGCATAATTTCCTGCTTCAGTTATTATTTGAAATCCCTCTACTTCCATGCCCATAATAACTATCTTGTGAACACCACATTGGCGCCTCAAACAGACAGACAAAAACATCCCAGTATCACAAATACAACTTTTACATTTTTATTCCTTCTATTTACCTCTTCCTTTTTTGACAATTATTCAAACAGAAGATTTATATCCAAAATAATTACTTGAGTACAACTATTTGAAGTAATTAAATATGATTTAAGCTCTAAAATCTCTTCTATCTATGGGTCTTTAAGATTACTCTATATAGAGTATCCCCCAAGTCCCGAGTTCAGTCTCTAGCCCACTAAGTCTAGCCTAGCCTGGCCTGCCCTCCCTCTTATTTGAGAGGTCCAGTCACTCGCTTATATAGGTAGCATTAGCTAGCTTCCAAAATCTTCCAACAACGTGTTTTCCAAACCGCTATTACGTTTCTAAAATACAAGTTTATCAGAATAATTCAGAAAATGTCAACAGGGTATTTCCATGTACTAGAAGGCAGGGTCACATTATGATTCTAACTAAATTGTTGGAAGTCTTGAGAAGCTCAAGCCAATGACACCATGACATTATTAGCAAGAAACTCTTTTAGCACTGCACTATTTTGCTATCACCGAGTTTTTTGGAAAGGTTCTAGAAATAAAGGTGAAGGCCATACCACCAAAGCCTTGTTGGTTAGAATCCCTTTGGAATAGGGTACCATTGTATATCACGTGATTACAAACCACTTGTTCACATCTATGTTTCATATCATATAATGACAATTCATGTTACATTTCACTTAGAGAACCCACATCAAAAATAATGTTTATTCAACATATAGTTGTTAATTCATAACGATTACATTCGGTTATAGTAGAAAAAAAATGGAAGCAAAAAATTACATTTGATATTTCACCAATTCAAAAATACAGTCACATTAAAATCTTATGATTGTGAACACCCATCATGCAGACTGAGCGTCATAATCTGTCTGTGTCTATACACGCGTCAGGCAAAATAAACGTTTGGTCTATAAAGCATATGTTCGCATATCTGGGAGTATACAAACTCTGGCATTTAAATGATCTTGTCTTACAGTGTTACTACAATGACTGGGGTTTGAATCCTCATAAAATATTTGAAGTAAAACGAGGGTAGTTCCTTTTAAAAGTTACTCTGTTATCAGACGCAGCAGGATATAGCTCGATCAACACGTGTCCTTTACGACATGCAGCATCATATATCTGAACTAACAGGTGTTCTTTACGACATGCAGCATCGTATATCTGAACTAACAGGTGTTCTTTACGACATGCAGCATCGTATATCTAAATCAACACGTGTCTTTTATGACATGCAGCATCGTATATCTGAATCAACAGGTGTCCTTTACGACATGCAGCATCGTATATCTGAATCAACACGTGTCCTTTATGACATGCAGCATCGTATATCTGAATCAACAGGTGTCCTTTATGACATGCAGCATCGTATATCTGAATCAACACGTGTCCTTTATGACATGCAGCATCGTATATCTGAATCAACAGGTGTCCTTTACGACATGCAGCATCGTATATCTGAATCAACATGTACATTGAATATATTACATTAACATTTCACTTCATTTCATGAATACATATAGTAAATGAGAAAAAAAAAATTACAATTTGGAAGTAAAAACAATCGTCATATGACTGGCAGAAACAAACTTTCTCCTAACTACATAAGAAAGGTTGCTATTCCATGTTCATATACATTTATATATATTTTTCATTTTACTAGCCTCAAAAATAAGATCATGGAAAATATTGGGGAAGTAAAGGTGGCTGGCACGGTACATTTTACATTATTGGTCTGGTCATCTAAATTGTTCTAAAAGGGCAACAAAATATAATCATACTGCTTTTGTTACAATTCTTCAGCATTATTTATCCTTTAAAATAGGCGGGGGAAGTAAAGGCGGTTAATTAAATGTTCTTCTTCTTTGAGCCGCCTCACATTTTATTTGGGCCTTAGATACAATTGAAATTAAGTTTAACATAACTTAATTGCCAGCAGACAAAGGTTTTATGTTTATACATCTGCTTGTCATTAGCACACCGGGGAATATGTCAACATGTACAGCTAACGAAAACAAAACATTGAAGTCGCTTACAGGCCTTATTGTTATCATTTTCTGATGACAGGGCTTTGATATTCATATATGGACATTTTCACTGATAAATAAACAGGACGTTTTATCAAAAACAGGGGCCGTTCTCAATCAATCAGGTGCCGTCTCTACAATGAAGGCTGGCTGCAATGGATTTCCAACAAGCCCTGTCTCTTGCCCTTGATGTACACTCACTCATACTGCTGCTCGTCCATCTCTAGATGTTATCCTCCCACTTGTAACGCTGTCTGCCCCTTGCTCGCCTACCTTGAACCTTTCCCTCTAGGATGATCTTTACAATACTGTTATGTCTTTTAATGTGGCCAAAATATTTCACTTCTCTCTTTTTTATTTCACCACTTCTATATATTTTTCAGTCAGCATCTTTAGACAAATTATGGCCTCTCGAGTACCAGTTTTTACGGAATCCAAATTGCTCTTCAGAAACTTCTTTATCTATTTTATTTCGAATTCTTGCTTGTATTATCTTCAAGAGTAACTTAGTTACGTGACTCATTAGGCTAATAGTTCTGTAATCTTCACAATCAACAGCTTTTGATTTCTTGGGTAGTGTGATAGAAACAGATGTTTTTATGTCCCTGGGAATGTACCCATAGTTATAAATGTCATTGCATATTTCTGTGATAGTATCAATTCCAAAAGTAGATAATGATTTTAACATTTCTGCAGTTATGTTGTCTGGACCTGCAGCTTTTCCCAGCTTCATCTGTTTAATGGCTTTCTCTACTTCAGACTTTAATATGTTTGGCCCCTCTTGAATATTATGGATTGGCGGTTTGTCACCTCTGTTGTCCCAAAACAGGTATTCTGTGTATTCAGTCCATCTTTTTATTATATCTTTCTTATCAACAAGAATTTTTCCATCCTTCCCCCTAATACAACCATTTTATGTTAAATATTTTTCTTTGTTTGTAAGTTTTCTTATATTTGCATGTATTTCCTTGGTTCTGTGTTTTATTTCAAGATCCTCTATTTCTTTGCATTTTAACTGAATCCATGTTTCCTTAGCATTTCTACACATATTTCGTATTTCTTTGTCTATTAATGAATATTCTGGAGTGTTTTTTGCTTTCTTCCTTTGTATCATTTTGTTAATAATTTCCTCAGTCATCCATACTTGATTTTTCTTGTTTTCTTTCACTGGTAAGATGGCATTAGCTGTTTCTATACTAGTTTTAAAACATTCCCATTTTGTATTTATTTTGTCCTCTGGATTATCCCGTCAATATTGTTCCATGCTTTCAACTTTTAATCTGTCATATTTATTTTTAACCTCCACCAGGTACTGCTGGCTTATTTCTGGCTGTTTCAAAGCTATGTCTATGTGGGGTGACCTTTGCGTTTTTAAGTTTAATTTCTATTTTTATTACCACAGGGTTGTGATCTGAATTTATATCCACACCTGGGTATGTTTTGGCGTTCTTGATGTTGTTTTTGAATCTGTCTCTAATCATTAAATAGTCAATTTGGTTTCTATTTATATCTCCTGGACTCTTCCACGTATACAGTTTTCTAGGTGGATCCTGAAAAAATGTATTACAGATAATGAGTTGGTTCTCTTTGCAAAACTGTATCAATCTGTCTCCTCTGTCATTCCTTGATCCCATGCCAAATTGCCCTACAATATGTTTGTGCTTCTTTTTCCCCACTTTTGCATTCAGGTCTCCCATAACTATTAAGACCTCTGATGATTTTACAACTTTCAGTAATTGTTGTAGTTCTTCATAATATTTTTCAAGCTGTTCATCACTGTAGTCAGTTGTTGGTGCAAATGTCTGTAATATTGCAATATCAAAAGGTCCTACCTTGATCTTGATCAATATAATTCTGTCACTGTGAGCCCAGAACCCGCTAATAAACTTCTCTAAATTTCTTTTTATCAAGAATCCTACTCCACGTTCATGATGTTCTCCTCCAGAATTAATAAATATGTAATCATCTCTCTTTAGGCAGCTAGCTTGTGTCCATCTTGTTTCTGATACTCCCAAAATATCTAAATTCAAATTCTTTGCCT